CAACACCAGCCCTCTCAGTATACCATAACCAACACCAGCCCTCTCAGTATACCATAACCAACACCAGCCCTCTCAGTATACCGTAACCGACACCAGTCCTCTCAGTATACCATAACCGACACCAGTCCTCTCAGTATACCGTAACCGACACCAATCCTCTCAGTATACTGTAATCGACACCAGCCCTCTCGGTATACCGTAACCAACACCAGTCCTCTCAGTATACCGTAACCAACACCAGTCCTCTCAGTATACCATAATCGACACCAACCCTCTCAGTATACTGTAACCGACACCAGTCCTCTCAGTATACCATAATCGACACCAGTCCTCTCAGTATACCGTAACCGACACCAGTCCTCTCGGTATACCGTAACCAACAAATTGTTTAACTTACGTTCACTTCTTTTCGTGTCACCATATATGGGTCAAAACATCTGTTATTTCTTCATTTTTTTTCATTTGCTTGAACATGAAATTAAAAATATCTTTTCTATTTTCAAAGTACTACATTTTCTACAACATTTCATTACAAACTGCCATCTAAAAGCAAGATAAACCTTGTTCCATGAAGATAAAGAAAGATCAACCAGTGATAATGGGAAACCACTTTATATTGGCTACAACACTAACATTGAACCCCTTGAGAATATATTAAGGAAGAATAATGTCAGAAGAATCATATACAAATAACCGAACACCATTAAAAATAACCTAACTTCAAGCAGAAAAACACCTGAAGATAAGAAACAAGGCATTTATATTACACCATGCCAATCCTGTAGGAAAGGTTATGTAGGTTAACCCGGAAGAAGTGCTGACACAAGAGTTTCTGAACATAAAAAAATACATAAGATATGGAAACCAAAAATGAATGCCATTTTTCTTCATACGAGAGATTCTGGCCATCAAATTGATTGGAAATCAACAAGAATTTTATACAAACAGATAACTACATAAAAAGAAGAATCGTCAAATGTTGTTTAATCAAAAGCCTGCCTAATTTCAGCACCTCCCTAGGTCATTTAACAACTTCTTGATCTCCTGCGTTCTTAAAGGAATTCCAAGATCAGGGGTCGTGTAGGCATTGGTTGACCAGTTTCTTCCTTTCAGAAGACAACACAAGACTGAAGAAGATGCATGAATGTGTTGAAACTAGTTTCTCTAATATCAGACTTCTGACAGTTGGTTCCATTTACTATGGTATAAGTGGCTTTATGTCCAACTGCAAGACACAGAGGAACAAAATCGCTCATGAAAGCAAAATGAGCCGTATATATATATTGCTCTCTTTACAACAAGAGGTATTTTCCAGACTCATAATTCCAGGTATAATTCTGTTGGATAAACCAGTGTGGAATTTAACAAAGTGAACAATTTCACGTAGAAGATTTGGTCAGATTAAGTCACCATTAGTTAACATATCAAAGTTTGTTCTGTTAATCTTTTTGCTTTCGTATGTGTTCTCTGAAATATCACAAATGTGTTAGTTGCGATTAATATATCATGCACTTTCCGACTGACTTTTGTAGCACTGGGTTTCAGCAGGGATAACAATGCTATGTATAACAGATACTTGGATTCCAGCTTGAAATGATATAACTTACTGTTGCATAAATAACACATTTAGCATAACTGTTGATTGTTGACTTGATGTTTAATTTTTAATGCTTAGGACTTGTTCTGATTTGCAGAAACGTCGCTTGTGAATGGAATGTGGAGGAGCATAGATTGACTGGCACGCACTGCAAATTGAATGTGGAGGAGCATAGATTGACTGGCACGCACTGCAAATTGAATGTGGAGGAGCATAGATTGACTGGCATGCACTGCAAATTGAATGTGGAGGAGCATAGATTGACTGGCATGCACAGCGAATTGAATGTGGAGGAGCATAGATTGACTGGCATCTATGCGAATTGAATGTGGAGGAACATAGATTGACTGGCATCTATGCGAATTGAATGTGGAGGAGCATAGATTGACTGGCATGCACAGCGAATTGAATGTGGAAGAGCATAGATTGACTGGCATGCACTGTGAATGGAATGTGGAGGAACATAGATTGACTGGCATGCACTGCAAATGGAATGTGAAGGAACATAGATTGACTGGCGTGCACTGTGAATGGAATGTGGAGGAACATAGGTTGACTGACATGCCCTACAAATGGAATATGGAGGAACATAGATTGACTGCTTCTCTCAGTTTAACTGTAACATTGAGTGAAATAATAATACAGTGTATTTCAGTATACCTACATAAGTCAATACGCATGAAGGAAAAGATTTTGGCAATAAATACGTTCATTTCTCTAATTACTGTATCCTGTTTGGTAATTTCATTACTGGTGAATACGTAATGAATGTGTAGTTTTAGGTCGTCACCTATAGGAAAAATTACTGTCTTATTGATCATGGCCATTTCAAGTAATAACACCAACATAATGAATTTCCTAGTTCTGTCAATTATAAATAACAATATAAAAAACTTGTGTTAAGTTTTCACTGTTGATAGTTCTGTTTAGGGGATCAGCTAACAACGTACTTCCTTCATGTTTGATATTAAACCATAAATTTTAATTAAAGTTTCCTTTTCTTTTGGATTGAAAAAATGAAATTCCTATATTTCTAGCTCAGTGTGCCTTGTTTATTATCTCGTCTTGAATGGTACTGCTGTACCTATGTGTGCGGCATGGCCAGGTGGTTGGGGCGCTCGACTCGCAATCTGAGGGTCACGGGTTCGGATCCCCGTTGCACCAAACATGCTTGCCCTTTCAGCCGTGGGAGCGTTATAAGTGACGGTCAATCCCACTATTCGTTGGTAAAAGAGTAGCCCAAGATTTGGCGGTGGGTGGTGATGACTAGCTGCTTTCCCTCTAGTCTTACACTGCTAAATTAGGGACAGCTAGTGCAGATAGCCCTCGTGTAGCTTTGCGTGAAATTCAAAACAAACAAACAGTTTTCCTGGTCAACCCAGTTCCTCTTGGAAATATTGTTTATGTTCGGAGCATCATTGTAATTTAGGTCTTCTGTAAACCTGGGAGGGTCAGGTGCATTTTGACCTCTTCTTCCCTCCTTGACTTTTACTTTAGTTTGAGGATTGTAGTTGTTTATTTTATTTCCTGTTTATCTTGTCCTTTTCAGGACCATTTCCATGGATATTAACCTATAGTTGGTGTAGGTAAAGTTCTAGAATGGGGTGACTTTCAGTTTCAGATATTTTGTTAATTGATTGTGTGGTATTTGGGCTCAAGAATAATTATAAGATGTTAAGAATTAAGTGTTGTTAAGCTATTTCTATTCAAATTGTGAAGCTATCTGTATTGTTTTGAGGGTTTCTGTATTGTTGTATGAATTCTTAGAATCTATTTTTAATTGCTTCAATAATAGAATTTGTTTTGGTTTCAAGTAAGTTTTTTGGTTGACTTTCTGTGACTTAAGTTTTGTTTTGTTGTACATTTGAACTGTTGGGTTGTTTCTGGATTTGTTTTGTCGGTATTTGTGTTTCTTTATTTAGTGTTGCCTCTGTGTATGTTGTAGGCTATTCTGTACAGGTGTGTTTTGTGTTAGTGGTGTTTTTCTGTTAGTGTTTTCGGATTATGTGTGTGTGTATATTTCACCTTTGCTTTGACATATTGTGTCTAGTGTATATTCTAGTTTTGATGTCCTTATCTTTAGGACATCCTTTATAATTAGCTGTATGTTGCCATTGGCAGTTACAACATTAGGACATTTTGAGTTATGATGGACTCCACCACAGCCCATGCATTGTAGGAGAGATTTACACGCTGCAGAACGTGTCCGTATCTTTGACAATTGTAACACTGGGTTACAACAACAGTGGGTGTTTTTGTTTCTTCCACCCGATATCTCTGGTACCATGGTATAATACCCTCAGATATCATATCTTATGATATAAGTGATATCACTGCTTATGTGTGGTCCAAAAGAGAGTTCATTCGGATTTCCCGCCCTGGTTGTAGTGGATGAAGATAGGTTTTTGTTTTTAGTTTGACATGCGTTTTTCAGTTTCACTTATGCTTTAATTTTTATATCAAACATTAAAGTCTTATATCTTGTTTGCTTGTGTTATAGCAAAGCCACATTGGTCTCTTTGCTGTGTCCACCAGGGGGGAATTGAACCCCGAGTTGTAAGTTCGTGAACTTACCGCTGTCCCATGGGGGACAGGTTTATAATGTTTAATAAATATAAAAGAGATTGAATGGTATAAGAAAACTGAGAGCTATTGTGGCTTCACAGCGGTATGTCTGCGGACTTGCAACACTAGAAACTGGGTTTCGATAGCCGTGGTGGGCAGAGCACAGATAGCTCATTGTGTAACTTTGTGCTTTACTTCAAACAAACAAACACCTTTAACTACATTTAACCCTATCTCGACGTGTCAAAGACCAGGTCATCGCGTTTGTTGACTTGCATTCAAAATTTTATTCTACAACTTTTTCATGAATCTATGTCAATAAGTTTGGTATCAATAAAGTCCAGTAACGACTAGTAAGGTAGATTTGTTCAATTTACATTTCTGTGGGCTGTGTTACTAAGCAAACTTTGCTCATAATACGATTTTAAAGTATCCTGGGTCATCAGTTCATTTGGGTGTCTATAAGCTCTGTGCAGTCTGTTACCTAGCTCTTGTAGCTTATGTCCAAACACTCTGACTGATTTACCTCATTGCTGAGTCAAGTTACATATCCGTGTTAGAATTGTATTTGGTGTTTTTCGCTTTCTGTATTATTCTACTAACCTCTGCACTAAATAATGAAAATTCGCGGTTTCACGCAGTTCATCATAAGCCTTAACCCTTCCGAGACGGGTCACAGGTGAAAGGCCATGTCATCTCGTTTGTTTACTGGTATTCAAAATTATATTGAACTACTATTTGGTATCAAACTGTAGATTATAATTCAAACTTTAGTACTATACATTACACATATTCTTAATTTAAAAGCAAATATAAAAAAATGCAGATAAACATCGATTTTTGTGTATCACGCGGTATGTTGAATGGGGCACTGGTTCAAATTAGATGTTTATGAAGTCAAAATACAAAGTATATAGTTTCGTACGAATTAGAAACTCAAATTATTGATACTGACGAGCTCCAATATAAAATAAGAACGTCTTATATTTTCTATTTGCTAAGATATTGCTCATGTAATAAATCAAACACAGTGGAACCTCGCCTACCTCTTTCCATTTTTGGAAACGCTCCCTTATAATCACTTACTTCTATATATGACATAAATAACCAATCGAAAGCTCAGAGTGTCCCCTACTAGATTTATCAGCCATTTTAATGGGTTTGATGCCATTTCTTTCTATTGAACCAATATTTCAAGGAGGTAGGGTGTGTCTTTAGTCTGTTTGAAATTTCATAATTTTTTTAGACTAAAATACATATTAGTTACTAAGCTTGATAAATTATAGTGGAATTCTATGGTATCAATATAGTAATTTATTATTTTCTAGTTATTCAAATGTATACATAAAACTTAAAAAAATTCTTTTTTCATATCCTCCAATTTTAAAGGCTTAGCAACCAAGTACGAAGGTCGTAACTAGAAGAGATAATTGTTTGCTTTACTTCTTTATTTACTATTTTATGTTTTAAGAAAAACAAGTTTAAAAACATATTTGAAAAAAGCAATAATAAATATACATATATAATGTATAATAATTGAAATGTGACAGTGTTTTACAAAACACTAGTCTACTATAACACAGCCAAGACAAATTACTTTGTATAGACTAAAGGTCCGTTTTATATTATTGGAAACCATAACATGAGGGCACGTGTGCCGCGTCATTATAACTTCTGTATTGTTAGCCAGGTACAGATGAAAGGTCAGTATAATAAAATAAGTTTGTTTGTTTGCTTGGAATTAAGCACAATGGGCTATCTGTGCTCTGCCCACCACGGGTATCGAAACCCAGTTTCTAGTATTGTAAGTCCACAGACATACCACTGGGGTCAAAATAATAAATATATGTAAATGTATAATGTTATGAAATTTAAGCTATTTAGTCTAAGCATTTATGTTTTCATGTTATTATTTGTGTTCATTCTAGAATGAAAGAGGCATAATTTACATTTATTCCCTCATTTTTATAGTGTTTATTAGATTAGATTCATTGGTAAAAATAACATATAAAATATAAAGTTTTTCTTAAGAAACGTTTGATAACTATCTGGACATTATAAATATTTTGCATGTGAAATTTGAAAATTTTCTAATGCATAAAACTATTTTTAATCTTAAAATGAAAATTACTTTGTATGTTAGATAGGCAACATTGGAAAAGAAAGAAAAGGCATGAGAAAAAAAATTACTATATAAACCTTAAGATTTAATAAAAATATTAGATATTATTACGACAGCGGAAGTCACGTGACGCTAGTAACACGTCATGAGCTTCTAGAAAATTCATGTCTCTTCGTGAAGCCTCGAGTGTTTACTAGATATGCGGTATTCTTGTATATAAGACTGCCAACAATGCAGTTGAATTGCAGACAGAGATAGAGACGGACAGTTGGGTCGAGCACGTGTGTCGTTCGTTGTGAATTATAGCGTTTGTTTAAGTTATAGCGTGACCGTGGAAATTAAGTGAATTTCAAAGTTGTATTGAGAAAGAATAAACTAGTTTTATTTAAGAAAGGACTTGTGTCGCTAAAGTTTCTGCGGAAAGAATTTTTATGGAAAATTAACAAACGACCAGGGATGTATCAAATTGGTGTCAGAGAGTGGGACAAAAAAAAATGGAAACGAGAAGTGGCAAATCAAACTACAGCTTAGCAGATTTGATGGCAGCAATACAAGAACAACAAAAGAAACAAGAAGAACGAGAAAATAAACAAGAAGAGAGACAACAGCGGTGGCAAGAAAACCTGCAACAGTGGCAGCTCGAACAGCAGTGGTTGGAGGAAAAAGAAAGTAAACAAGAAGATCAAGAAAAGAAACAAGAAGAGAGATTACAGCAGTTGTTGGAAGAAAAAGAAGAGAAATTACAGCAGTTGTTGGAGGAAAAACAAAAGAAACAAGAAGAACGAGAAAAGAAACAAGAAATATGAGAAAAGAAACAAGAAGAGAGATTACAGCAGTGGTTGGAGGAAAAACAAAAGAAACAAGAAGAACGAGAAAAGAAACAAGAAGAGAGATTACAGCAGT